CGGTTGCACAAGGATAAGGCTCCATAGTGTCAGAAAAAAGAGAAAAGAATACAGATTATCATTTCCTCTAAATGAGGCTGAGCTAGAGGCACAGACAAGAAGATTCCCCTATGTCTGTACCCACAGCAGGAGCCCAAGAGGGGACATTCTGAGAGGTGACCTCTCCTTGTATTAGGTCAGCCTTACGGGCATGTAGGGAAGTCTGGCTGCCTCAAAAGAGTAAGAGTCTCTGAAGGACTTTTAAGCCCAATTTCCTTATAATTTTAAAAAGATAAGGCCAAATTGAAAAAGATACATGGTAAACCTTCTTACTGAGAGTTACTAAGAAGTCAGAAGCAAGTGAGAGCACAAGCAGAGAGTTTCGGCTTGCTTTAAGATTGGTCCTCTAGCAAGAAAAGTAATTTGGAATGGCATGAGTAGAGTGGCATGCAGGGAAAGCGAGTGGAGCTTGAGTTAGCAAGCTTAACTTTGCTGCACTTTCCCAAGAGGGAAGAAGTAGACTACTGGAGCCATCAGGAAGGAGGGCTAACTGTTTTTCACCTGTTTCCAAGTTTTGTAGTATACAACTCTGTAAGGGAACTGGTTAAAATCAAGCATAGAGGAAGTAGGTTTGACAGTATATCATTCAGTATCAATCCTCAGCACTCCACCATGAACCATTCCTGGTTCCCCTGCTAGGAGCCCATGCACAGCAATCAGTGCAATGCACGCCAAGTGTGTAGTGCATGCTTCCAAGGAACAAGGTGCTGAGGTGGATATAGTCAATCTGGTTAAAACATACAAACATAATGAGTAAGGGGCTTTCAAGAAATAGGAATCTGCTTTACTATTAGACAACCTCTAAGGGGTAAACCTAATTAAAATAGAATTTATTTGCAAAAATTAAAACATGTGGTCTCTTTTGTGGACAGTTTTCAAATGTCAGAGTACCTGACCAGCACGGTTAATAGCATTCTAAATGCTGTCTGTCTTCTCTCTTTTCAAGGGCTATTATACCTTTGGTTGTTGCTGCCATTGGAATGAGCATTCAGGAGAATACTGGAAATTATATCCCACTTCAGTTTAGACTGACAGGAGCTTCCAGTTAGCAGTCCGTCAGTTTCTGTGACCAAAACATACAACTAAGCAGTTTTGATTACATATGTTTTATAGCTGTCATACACAAATGCCATCAAGTTTGATTCTCTCTGGTATGTAAGAGATCTAACCATGCCATTAAGTGATTGTTTTGTGAGAAAGAAGTGAATAGACATAGAAAAGGAAGTGCAATTCCTACTGTCCAATATTTATTACCTGAGATTGCTGCAAAGAAAGATTCACTAACGACTGGTCAAATTACTTTTGCTTATAATGAGAGTAACATTTGTGTCCAGATCTCTATAGATTGAGGGCTGCTATTCCAGTCTGTGGATTGCATCTCTCTCACCAAGATACTTACAGCATGAAATTGGATTCACTTCGTTTGTCTTTTTGAGATAAATCCTTACTGCAGTCAAGCACAAACTACTGCTTGTTCAAACAACTTTGATGCTGGCTTGTGCACTAGTTCAAATCTGTTGAGCCAACTAGCTCATCATCTAGGGAAAGTCTGACTTTGGGTTTTGTTTCATATGTTGGAAATGTTTGTGGATTGTTCTATCCACTATTCTTCTTTCTTTTTCCTACCTTAGAACATTCACTTTACTTACGGACCATGCAAGGTCCCTGCAGTGCAGAGTTTTGTTAATCTTTACTAATTCCTGTTGTTGCTATATTCCATTTCATCCAGATGTAATCACACACTTACGACACAGTCAAGATTTACCACAAGAACCAGCACTGGAATCAACTTAATTTTATATGTCATGAGATTTCAGAGTGTTATACTTCAACCCTCAAAAGCTGAATCTCATTTTTCTGTGGCCCATTTCCTCCAAGCTGGTCAGGTGGCACCAAGTGTTGTATCTGAATGGTTTTGGGAATGACATGCAGAGATGGACAGAAGATACTACTGCAAGTGGACACTCCATAGCAACACAATGCAATATTTTACCCTTGTTGTTGATGTTTACTCCAAATATGTACAGAGGCTTCAGATTTCAAAATAACCTGTGCAGTATGAGGAGGTGAACACATGCTAATAATGAATGGCACACAGAAATAGGGCTCAGAATAATCACTGTAGAAAACAGCCTTGAAATAATGCTAAGGCTATGACTAGTGGACAAAAGTCACAGATGCAAAACTAAGGCCAGAATTCCGTTCTATCCTTGGAACTTAGTAAAAAATAGTTATTCCTCTTTTTTTTTTAGCATAGTTTAGAAATTTAAAAGACTTATTTAAGTTGGATTTAAACATAAACTATTTAATCTCAAATATCTTGACTGTCAATATTCCACAGTAAACTCACTAAACTTTTTTTCCCACTGTAGCATATTTAAATTATCAACACCAAAACAATGCCCCTAGCTTTCCATACTCATGCTTTTCTAATTCCACTGCTTTTCTCATTCAATAGCAGAAAACCACATCTTGGGCTAACATTTTTTGTGCTAAAATGAGCAGCACAAACATTTGTTAGTAACTGAAAATGTCATTTCTAAAATCAGTAAATTAAACAGTGAAATTTCACTGTAATGGATGATCTTCTTACAGGGACTTTTACTGACAAAGACGATGACTGACAGAGAATGCAGTGATAGATGTTACTGCCCAAATCTAAGTTCACATGTAAGAACCAGAAAAAATTACTGAAAAAAAAATCTAGCTTGCTACATGATGACCTTATCTAAGAGTCTGATTTTGTTGGCAATAATTCAGCTACTTAACAAATGTTGCCAGACATAATCAGAAAAAAAATACTGATAAACTTTCCCATATGTTTTATAGCAAATTTGTTCCTTGACACTTGAAACTGAATAGTTCATCAGCTGATACAGGTTGTCTTATCTCCACCGAAAGCAATGCCAGTTTCTGTCATCAGAAGATCTGCCTCTTTTCTTTGCTGATTTTATAAATGTACTAAATTTTTAATGCTGACATTTGAAAGAGATCCCGTAACCTTTTGCATAGCATTAGGACTGACGAGAACTTTACTGTAAGCCAGAACAGTCCACAGCACAGAAGGAATACATTTACCAGCATTTACTGTCCATCCTTGCACTTGGTCTAATAAAAGCATTATCACTCCCTGCAGCCTTGCCATGGCTTCCTTCTTAATGGCCTTTCAGAGAGACACTTCGAAGTGTTAAGTGGTGAAACATCACTAGAACTATTAAACATTAGCTGACAAAGTGGTTGCAGTAAGAAATGTATAAACTATGGAAAAAATGAAGGCGTTTATACATCTAAATACCAAACAAACCTCTGAAAGTATCTTACTTATCACACAGTTCAATGGCCTGATTCTTCCTCACTCATACAACAACCAAAATACTTGTATTGAGTCATTCCTGGAGTAAGACAAATTCAGTTTTAAAACAGAAAAAATATTCCAGATGCCACAAGTGAGAATAAAGCAGAATTTTCCTAGAGGATCAGCAGCAAAGAGTGAAAATGTTAATTTTGTTGTTCTCTTTGCTGCATCCCTACATGGACTTTTAAGTTCTCTGACATAGCTGTTGCCTTCTCCTCAGCCAACATTTTGTGTAGTTAGTAGCCTTTACTTTTAGACTGAATCTGCCTAAAAATGTTTGCCAAGAAGAAGTCATTGCCACACATTTCTGCCACCTAAGCACAGCTGTAGAAGGTCACTGTATTTAGTACTGATGTGATCTGTAGAGTTTCCTGATTAATGCTGCATGCATTGATACATTAATATTCTCTGCACCAATACTGCTATGTAATTGACTTGCACGCCTGTACTGTTTACAAAAGCTCACAATGCCATGGCCAAATTTAGCATGTGTTTTTTTTCTTTAAGTAATGTTACTGCTCGCATTTTAAATCTCTAATAATCAGTATGGTTTTTACCTTCCTGGATATGTCACCAAAACTGTTTTAAGAGGTAGCTTTGCAGTTTGAAGTTAAATGGTTTTTGAATAGCCATGTATGCAAGCAAACAAAAGTGGAATTTAACACTTTCACATGGAGGTTTCTAAACCTCTGCCACTCCAAAGTATCTTTTTGAGTTTGATTTCTGACATTTGAGCACTCTACTGCGTGTTGAGAATCTGAAGCCTTTGCACCATCAGTCAGGAGAGTTGACATTAGTATGAAGAAGGAAATAAATAGTAAATGGTTTTTCCAGTTACATCAACACCTGGGTTCTTGTGTCAGGAAGTCGAAGTCCTACCAGACCTCCACATACTAGAACAGTAGAAGCAAGGAGAATAGGGATTGCTTTGGTGATGCCAACAAGGGAACCGAATATTAAGTTTCCAAGTACAGCTGCAGCTTTGCATAGTGCATTCAAAAAGCCAAAGCCTGTTGACCTAGAAGAGAAAAGAGGAGAAAGTTAAAAAAAGGGTGAAAGAGAAAAATCCTTAAAGGCAAATCCTTTGCCTCTGAGACAAATCCTCGGTGGGAATAAATCAGTATGGCCCCAATATCTTAAACACAATTTAAGCCAACAAATTTATGCTTGTGTTTATAATGTGAAATCAGAGCTTGGCTGCTACAGCACTTTGTTGAGGCAAATTAATTCTGCTGCCTCAGGGGCCAAAACAGATCACTGAATAGGTGAGTTTGTACCGCTGGCGTAGAAGTAGAGCAGAACACCTCTGGAGCAGGGACTTGCAAACAGAAATTCAGTAGGACTTAAAAGGTTGGATTAGGAGACAGGATGTGTCAAGTAGCTCTCAAAAGAGAACTGCTTGGAGATTTGGTAAAGAAGTCATTAATTAAAGGATGATCATCTTAGGGCTCTGGATAAAAATGGATTTCTCACAGGTGGTGCATGTTGAACCAGCGCTCTTTGACAAGGCTAATGAGACCTCCAGTAATAGTGAACATTCGTCTTTGGAGAAAAGGGAAAGGAAACAGACTGCCAACAGAAAGTATGACACAGGTAGTTCAGGTGGGCTCTTGAATTGTGTGATTTCAGTAGTCTGAAGTAAAGTATTTTAGCTGCTTGGTAGCCCCATGCATAGATGTATTATGCAAACTGCCATCATTTTCATAAACTGCATTTTGATATGACTGTATGATCCATAGATGCAGAAATACACCCTGAAACTGTCCTAACAGAAATAACTGTATGATATTAGGACTGCTCACCAAATCTCTAACACTTCTCAAAATATCTTAGAAAGGAAAGAGAAGGACCATGTAGAGCTCACATTGTGCTTGCTGGGATAAAATTGTAAGAATCAGGAAGACAGATTTCCTGATTTTCAGAACAAAACGTTTCCTTCTTGTTAATATTAAGCACTGTGATTAAAAGGTCCTAGTCTAAACAACAGGGATTAATAGAAATGCTAGTGGTCTGAGTGACTGAAAAGTGCCCTAGTTACTCTACTGAGGCACATGTGAGGAAAAGCAAGAAGTCCCATGCTCAGATGTAGACTGAATTCCTAGCTAGTTTGAGGAACTTCTACTGGAGATCCTAAAGAGAAGCCCACAGAATCAACTTGAGTAAGCAGACTTGATCCTGGCTGAGAGTAAGGATTGAATTCCTCAACACTCTTCACAGAACTGTTTTCTGATTCTGAAAACAGCAAACCATTATATTAAGGGAGAAGAGATTCTCTGTCTCAACCAACTGATGGGCATGGCCACAATCCAGAGTGTCAACGGTTCATCTTCTATGCTTCTATGCCCTTGCCAGCTGGTCAAATAAGGTGATTCTTCCCCTCTATTCTGCTCTCATGAATAGAATACTGCACACAGTTCTGGTGTCCTCAACTTAAGAAGGACATGGAACTGTTGGAGCAAGTCCAGAGGAGGCCACAAAGTCGATAAGAGGACTGGAGCATCTCCCCTATGAAGACAGGCTGAGGGAGCTGAGGCTGTTCAGCCTGGAGAAGAGAAGACTGCATGGAGACCTCAGAGCAACTTTACTATATCTGAAGGACCTATAAGGAGCTGGAGAGGGACTCTGTGTTAGGAACTGCAGTGACAGGACAAGGGGAAATGGATTCAAACTGAAGGAGGGGAAGTTTAGGTTAGATAGTAGAAAGAAGATTTTTCCTGTGAGGGTGGTGGCCCAGGGATGTTGTGGCTGTCCAACCCCTGTCAGTGTTCAAGGCCAGGCTGGATGAAGCCTTGAGCAATGTGAAGTAGCAAGGAGGTATCCCTGCCCAGGGCAGGGGGTTGGGCATAGATAATCTGTAAGGTCCATTCCAACCCTTAAATTCTATGATTCTCTTTGGCAATCTGGACTCAATAGTGTTATCAGTCAGACCCTTTGGTGTCCTACATCCAAGTTGTATACTAGGGGAGAGGCAAAAATTTCTCTCTAGTATAGCTGAACAGGACCAGGGGTTTTCAGCTCTGTCCACGCCCTGTCTGAATACTGTGCTTTAGAATAATACCAGTCCTGGTGTATTTGAGGACACTGCACCACAAGAATGATGAAGGCAGGTCTAGATCCTTCTGGTATGTTTCTAAATCAGTCTAGTTTGCTCTAGGAACCAGAACTCTAGTTAACCCACAGAGTCAACTCCAGAACCTGAAGAACATTCAGAATGTGCCATTTTGAAATACTGGTACCTTTAGTGTCAAATTCTTAAATCAATGTATGCAGAACAGAATTAAGACACTAATTGAAAAGTTTTCCTTCAAAACACCCTCAAAAACTATTTTTCCATTATGTTAAATATCCATTTTTCCATGGTTGCAGACCAAAGTCTCTTGCCTACAACATTATGGGTGTAAAATCGGAAGACCTGTTACTGTTCCAGTGTCAGCTCTGTGTATTATATACCTTTTCTAAATCTGAGACAAATACAAATAATTTCCTTTCACTGGATGATTATAATCGTAATATATTTGTTACTAGTTTGGCAATATGTCTCCTCCAGCCCACAGCAGTATTTCAACCTCTTTAAAATGCCTGAGATTTAGCAAAGAAATTGCTGTTTTGTCTGAAATAAGCACAACTCCTCTTTGTGTAAAACACAGCATCAATCCAGGCAATGCATGACAATAAGCACTGGTGATATCTAAGGAAGAGAAGACAGGTCATTTGATGGCAGGGTAGAAACTACCCAGAAAAAAATTGTGGGGAAAAAACAAGCAGAAGAGACTCAGATTCTCCTGAATGTTCAAATTCTTTACTTATTTGTTTTCTCTAAATTTGATTGAGAAACCTGAGTACCTGCAGTACTTATACAAAATATCTAGTGCCAAGAAAGGCTAAACATGCACGTCCTGGAGATACTCATTTTGAAAGTGCCATGTTCTCCCCTCTGACAGTCCAGATCCCTGTGGGCTGCCAGACAGCACACTGCTGAGAGCAGCAGATGAGGAAGCTTTGAAAGTGTTGCTTCTGAAGATTTCTGACAGAGAAGCATTTGCAGCAGTTCCTTGAAAACACCTTCCTCAGAGCAAGTTAAAATTTGTCTGTTTTAAGCATGACTTTTAGAGGTATCAGTCTGAAGAAGATGAGATATGCTAAAGGAAGCAGCAAAGAGCAACACTACTGGAGTAATCTTCCAAAGACTATGAGAAGACAATCAAATTTCTACTGAAGAAACATTTGCACTACAGGGGCAGATAAAGTCCAGAATATGTGGAGGAAGCCTACCCAGGATAGGGGGTAGCTACTGAGAGGGAAGATGCTCGAGACTAATGCATCTTCTAAGGTTCACAGAATCACAGAATCACAGGCTGGGTAAGGCTGAAAGGGATCACAGTGGGTCATCTGGTCCAACCTCCCTGCCCAAACAGCATCATTCTAGTCCAGCAGGTCAGCCCTGAGCCTGGACTGATGCATGGGGATATTCCTATCCTGGCACAGGACTCTGCACTTGCCCTTCTTGAATTTCAGATGGTTCTTCTCTGTTCATCTCTCTAACTTGATGAGGTCTTTCTGAAGGGCTGCACAGAGTGTGCCAGTAGGAGGGAGGATCATGAAGAGGAAAGGCTGTGTTAAAATAGACTGTATCACAAGCAGGTAAAAAACAACACAACTGGACTGGAAAACCAAGCTGATGTGATAGGATAACAATAGATAGCAGCT